GAGCTTTAAGAGCTTTTCAAAGAATTGTCCCGAGTGAAGTTGACATCGGAGCGGACGTCCGCGCTTTTGTCTATTGAGTTGTTGGCTGCTTAAGCGCCGCTACCATGTTAAGCACTCAGCTAAGTTCGGCCAGGGCATTGCCTCCCCTGAGTGGGTACGAATCCGAAGTATTGAGTGCCAGGCCAATTGCCCAACCTTTCAAGAAGTACCACACTGACCTGTGAACTCTTCAGCCGCTCCCTTCGATTGTTTTGACTTCCAGGGCCTTTCATGTTCTGCAATGTTCTGACATAGGTGGTGAACACCTTCCATGATCTTTCCACACCGGGTTTGGATGTCGATACGCAATTTCCGGTTTGAACAAGGATCCTCTTGTGTGGCGTATCTGGGTCAGGACCTGTCTGTGCTGACCGGGGCAGAGCTGATCAGCGAGGATGTCCCAGCAATTGCTTGTGGTCGCCGTCACCAGCCTAGTTCCGAATGTGACTTTCATTCTGTGAGGACACCGGTCGCAAACTGGATGAGACCTTTGATCCCACCGTGCTGGGCACCGCGAAATCTATCACAGTGACAAAGGTGCGACAAGAACATCCGAGGCGTAAGGCCAGGCTATTTGTTGTGGAAGGATGACACCATCATTCTGGACGGTGCTGGTGAACAGGCCTGCAGCGCCAACAGTGAGAGGCTGCAGAGAAATCAATCGCTCGTCGTGTCCGAGGCCGATATCCAGTCTCGCTGCGAGCAGATCCAGGCAGCCATCGAGGCGCCAGTTCAGCTTACGAGGTACATTAGCTTCTGCAGCGTGATTCGGAGATATGCAGAGCGGATTGGTTTAATTGACAGCTGGACACCTATGTTGCTCAGACTTGAAGATGGTCAGTGGATGGGGGTTGTCTTGCGTGCTTCTGCAGGCTGCGGGTGTGCACATGATGTACGCCTTCCATGCTGCGTAGATCCATGTTGCCTGGTAAGGATATGTAAGGATGAGTGGTTACGTGCACAGTTGTACATTATTGGTCTTCATGGAAACTTGCCAGTGCAATCGCCTTGACTTTTTGCCAGAACAGTCCAGAGAGTTGGCACGGAAGCTCACCACACGGGTTACATGTTCTTTCTACATAAAACACGTGCCAATGAGTAAATGGGTCTCGTCCTTCTTTCTGCAAGGCAGGACCCTTTCTGCGCGCGCGTGTTTGCACTCTTGAGCACGATGGGCAACTTGCAGTGGAGAACTGTGCAGGTAACATCTTCGGAGTACGAGCGGGACAAGTCTTCAGCTCGGCTTCGTCGGGAAACAGAGAGTGCACGCGCGGCACACACAGCGCTCTCTGCCAAGGCTCAAGGAGCGGCTCGCCAAGTTGTCAGGTGGTGTCGCCGTGATCAAGGTCGGAGTGTCAAAGCCCTTGAGTTCGCCTGCATCGGGGTTTTTGATATGTTCCAAGTTGCACTTTGTGATATGGGATATTCTTGTTAACCGTGAGTCTTGAGCAGCTTCATCTGTGAAAGCTTCACAAGCGGACATGCACATCAAAACCAAGACTCATTGTACCCGCAGTTCAACATAAGGCTTTCACAGCTCTGTAGCCAAGACTGCCAAGCGAGGGTTCGATCGAGGCACGTATGCTACATGAGCCAGGTGGGAGGCGCATCTGAAGTGGAGGTGTCCGAAGTGAAGGCCGCAGACGACAGTCACAGTGTGATATTGGGATCTCTTGTGACTCTAGTGCTGGTCTGAGTTGAAAGGTCCATGCCCGGCAGATTCAGATTCACAGGATATATTCTGACAGTCACACATGCAGCCGGGTAAGGAAGAAGGGACACCTCCCCATTCAAACATCACCCCCCTCCTGCTATCCACTGCTATCCTTTGATTACATGTGAGGGGAGGTTCAACTCGCATCATTTCACTTTTATGCACATGGAAGGGTGCTCAGGGACTCTTGCACTTCGGATGAGAACGTCGAACGTACCCAGCCACCAACCGAACAACCCCAGCGCGCTCCACGTTGGATGCATGCTAGCCCGGGGGGACACTGCAAGCAAGGGTCTCCTGCCATCAGTAGGTTTCGTAGTGGTTGCTCGTGGAGTATGCTGGCGAGGTGACATGAGCTTTGCTTAGACAAAGACGAGCACTCACTAGTACCCATGCATATCCTGGGTAGTTTCGGTCAGCCTGCCGGTAAAGATAGCATGGCAGAACAGCAAGGACGAGTGCCTGCTAGGGGATTCACTCCCAAAATTTTCTTGAGAAAGTTGCACACCAGCGCGTGCGCACACTTCTGAGGTTGGATGTTCCAGACATTGTCAGACCTTGAAACTTGATACTCTGATATAAGTGCTAAGCTGTCTCCGAGTGGATGTCTTTGCATGCAAGCATCGGACGTGCTACTGACGTAGGAAAAGGAATCGGGGCAGAGGTTTGTCTCTTGCTGGGGCTATGATTCCGCTAGAAGGCTCGGGGCTTTTGTAGGTCTCTAGGTCAACACGATTTGCTGGGCCAGTGTTCGAGCTATCCTGAATACACATTGCCAGTGCTTTCAGACTGCAGGATAGATTGAACGACGCTCTCAACGCCACAAAGGCGGCTGTTGAGGAGGGCATCGTGTAAGCAGCTGAGCCGGAATTGTTGGTCGCATCTGTGACAACTCAAAACAACGCTCACAGAGTCTGGCCCCAGCAAGGCCAGGTGGCGGCACCGCCCTCCTCTATGCCTCGAAGAAGCTGGAGGCCGCACTGCAGAGTTTCCGACTCTCTTTTCTTGGACTCGGCTCTAAACGGCCAGTCTCTGGAGCTCGGGGGCTTCGATCGCAACGTTGGCCGCGACATCGTCCGCCAGGCCTTGCAGGCAGCCGTAGCTGATCTGCGAGTCCTGCGAGCCCTAAAACAACGCTGGCGGCTTCCCAGGTTCCACTAACGTCCATCGTCCAAAACGCAGGGAAAGAAGGCATGGCCCGAAGCTTTGAGTTGGCCACTTTTGCGATGTCTCCAAAGGGGCGGTCGTGGTGGAATACTTGCTGAAACAGAGCGATGAAAAGCCCACATCTCAGCATGAGAACCGGAACGCCTTGACAGATGTACTTCTGTGCTCGCTTCGATTTTGCTTCGTCTACAGCCTGGCTATCAATCAAGGCTTGGGTACAATGCGCAGACTGGCCAGTGCCCTCCCGTCATTCTTGAGCGAGTAATAGGCGCGATGATTTTGTCAGAGACGTGCGACTTAGCTCATGAAAGTTGAGGTATGTTGACATGATTGCCAACGGCATCATCGTGTGGAACTTACGCAAGTGCTGGCAACACTGACTTGCGATGCACAACACCAGTGACTGAGTGTGTGTCTTGTGGCACTGCAAACCATGGGTGCTTTGCTGCTCATGCTCTTTGGCATTGAATGCCCTAGCGACTTTGGTAAACTCGAGACAAGAGCCGTTTCGATCTTGTAAAGTCCTGATGCTCCTTTAGATGCTCAAAAGGCTTGATGGCCCCTGCAGGAAGCCAGAGACACAATGGGAAGCAATGCTCTCCAATTAGTTTTGATTTTCAGCACCGCTCCAGCTAGTCGGCGGATTTGGTGGCTGCATGTTGAGATACCTGGATTTTTCTTGAGTCCACGTCAGCCATCAGGATCCAACCAAAGTGGTCAGATGTGCTCTCGCCGATGCAGCCTCGGTACCAAGCCTACTGACATCCTGCAGTGCTTCAACATTTCGGCTTTCCTTTTTGCAGGTGGCTTCTTTGATGACAACTACGGAGTGTCTTGTGACCGAGATCCCCGAAGAGAAGCCGGCAGCAGGCAAGACTCAGTTTCAGCGTTTCAGTAGCTTGAAGAGCACAGTGTTCTCTGAGTCCTGTAGGCGGCCCGGGCGGCATGGGCGGCATGGGCGGAATGGGCGGCATGGGCATGGACGACGGGTGGGACTGAGCACTTTTTTGCCAATAGCGAGACGCCAGCGAGGCGTGCCAGAAAGACTTAAGAGGATGGGATGTCCTCATCCGAAGTGGATGTCCCGTTGCCCAGTTCGGGTGCATCTTGCCCTCTGCGGCTTGCAGCCGCATGAGCTTGTTAAGCAAGCGCAGGAACACTACAGGCATGCTTTTCGTTCCTCGGAATTTCCTGCATTTGCTTGGAACGCGCTCAATCACCTTTACTTGTAGCTCCCCGGAAGTGGCACTTGTCCTGAGCCGCTGGGAGGTACTCGCAGGCTTTGACGAGAGCAGGCTGTCGATGTCGATTTGTGATGAATTCCTATACTACACCTTTTCCTCTGCTTCAGAAACACTTACCGTATACTGTGCTTGCAATGAAATCTGACGTGTGGCCAAGCCGAACAAGTTTAGACTTGTTTTTTGGAGCCATCTTGGTTCGTCAGGCTGTAAACAGTTTATGCTAAAGGTCCAAAGAACAAGCAGGGCATTTATGCCGCGAGAGACCGACTGCACAGGGAGCTTGTCGAGGCTTTCACTGATCGGGGAATGGGCGAAGTGAAGTCGTGTTGTCTTGGTGCGGTCGGCAGACAAGCTCCCACAGACTAGTGTGCAAGAGCGAAAAAGCGGCAATGAGCGGTGGTGGGCCCGTTCTCTGCAAACTCTCTGTGCATGATTTAACCTCGGTTAATCCGCTGTCGCAAAGGCCGTTGGGGTACAAGTCCAGTCGTCAGATCACCATACCTGCTGCTGCCCTGCATTTGCCACGAACCTGTCGACAATCATGCAGTGCCGAGCATGAGAAATTAGACGGAGACGTGTCAGTGGGTCTTGGCATGGGGATGAAATATGCTTGCCCCGCCTTAGCCCGACTGCCTGCCCGACCGCGAAATCCCCTTAAGCCAACAAACCAGTTGATCGGCTCGGCGGTGAGAAGGGGTACTGGATGTTGCTGTGGAGGGCTTGCACAGAACAAAACGCCCAGGCTGCCAGCCTCGGCGGATTTTGGGGCTAGTCAGTCTGAAGAGTGTCGGGATGTCGGACAGTGCATTTTTGAGCTAAGAACTTTGCTGCTGCAGGCCCAGCGCAAGGAGTCCGCGTAGACAACAAGGCAGAGCTGGCTTGCATGAAAATATGCGACAATGCCAAGTTGCGCTTCTGTGGCCAAGCAAGTATGCCTGTCGGAACTATCGTGTGGACATGTATCGCCAGCTTTGGTTCACAAGCTCAGAAAATCAAGCATCTTCAGCATGACCCCTTGCGGATCCAGCAGGTTTAACATCCTCCTGACCTCGTCCCGAACACTCTGGAATTCTGCAGCGTTTACGGTAGGAAGCCATGTCCAAAATGCCACAGAAGGCCCGCTGCTCCAGCCTGCCTGCGTGGCCACAGTAGTGGCGATCTCCAAACGGTAGAGGTTTGCCGATTGTACACTGGTTTCTGCCTTCCGGTTGGCCGACTAGTTGCGATGTGTGTCTGCCGCCACTAGCACCAGCAGCAGCAGCACCACCACCACCTCCACATAATAGGCTACCAGCACCACCAGCACCGCTGGCACCACCAGCACCTCCAGCACCTCCTCTGTACCACCAGCACCAGCACCGGCACTGGCACCGGCACCGGCACTGGCACCGGCACCGGCACCAGCACCAGCAGCAGCGCCAGCAGCAGCAGCAGAAGCGCCAGCAGCAGCGCTAGCAGCAGCAGCAGCAGCAGCACCAGCACCAGCAGCAGCCTCAGCAGCAGCACCGGCAGCAGCACCGGCAGCAGCAGCGGCAGCAGCAGCAGCAGCAGCAGCAACAGCAGCACCAGCAGCAGCATCAGCACGAGTACCAGCATCAGCACGGGATTTGTGATGATGGTGTTTGTGGATGTTGTGGGGGGGTTGATGCTGAGAGGCATTCCAGGAACCATGGTATTCATGTTCTTGATCTGATCGCCCTCGTTTCGCATTGATGTTGGCCTTCCTGTTGGCTTTGATTTCTTGTTGCTCTTGCGGCCTGTGCTGAAAAAATCCCACTACAGAACGTGTACCGCAGTGGCAGGCGCTTCGGCTTCAGACCAGTGTACGCTCCTGAGATTTTCGAGCCGCCAGCTTGTTGCAGCTGCCAGCCAGAACATGTTAATATTCAGATGTACAAGATGGCGCAGTATGTCACGGACAGTGCTGGGGCTACAGATGTTGCTCCTCACAAAATCGTAAGGTCCTTCCGAGACAGCAGAGGTCCTTTTTTACCACAGAAGTTGCACTAGCGTGCTTGTTGACACGGCTCCGCCATCTGCACAGGTCGACCACAGACCCGCATCAACCAATGAGCCTTTCCACGTGCTATGCCTGCACTGCTCGTGTTTCACGGGCTTTGCTGCTCACCTTTTGACTTTTCCGCAAACTTTCCCGTTTGTATGGACGGAAGCCATGCTGCCACCTTTGCATTCTGCAGCGTTGGCTCAAAGTAGCCACGCGCATTCTGCGTGCAACTTACGTGCTGTGCTCAGATCGCCGTGCCGTCTGTGCGCAACGAATCACCATGTTCCCAAAGGCATGTAATGGTCCGATCAACTTGGACGAGCTTAGTTTGCCTGCTTAGCTTGAGCTGCGCAGAGCCAGATGTTGGGCACCCTGCTTTCGGACGGCATTTTCCGTTAGAGATCAGACAGGTCCTTTCCACAACAGAGGGCCCCATGGTCAGGTCCTTTCTTCGCAGCTTCTGAGGATAGGTCCCGGAACGAAAAGTTCCCTGCGAAAAGATGGAGGCCAGTGGTTGATTGAAGTGCTTGTTGCGCAGCGGCTACTTGGTACTGGCACGACGCTGCAGAAGGTCTTCAACAACCGTTTTACAGATCCGCAAATGGATGGACAAAGCTTACTTACGACGAGGACCCACTGGAGTTGGCATTCAAGGCAAGGCCGGAACGACTGAGGTGTGCGTTCTGCATGCCAACAGTGGCAGCCAGCGCTCTGGCTTTCTCGCGTTCAGCAGCTGCCAAAGCCCACCCAGAAGCATGTCCAGGTTGATGGTCGCACGGCTCGAATAGGCTTGACCGGGCTACCTGCAAAGTCATGCTTGAGCTGTTGCTGTGCGGCGATGGACATGCACCTCCGACCTTTAGAAAAAGTCCCAGTCGAGGTGGTGCTTCGCGAACATTCTACAATGCCACTTATGCCGAAGTATCTTCCAACCTCATGGTTGATGACGTTCCTCGTGCTGCTTGACTGCTCAATGAGTTTGAGTCGTAAATGTGAAGGACGGCGAGCCGCAGGCGGTAAGGTCAGCTTCGAGGAAGTACATCGGGGGTTAGAAGAGGGAGTGCTTATCCCATGCATCCACAGGTTTCACTGAAGCGTGGCTTGGCTGATATCAGTCGTACAAACCTGCGCGTGCCGACGGCTGCTTCAAGCCAAGGAATATTCAGCTTTCCAGCCGAGTCGGTCTTCAGATCTGAATTCCGCTTGACAGCTTTGAGCTCCCTGTCCAGTGTGCAGGCAGGTTTAAGCCGCAGATCTCGAAGCCTCCGCAAGGGCTATCGGCTGCTGTGTACGGCTGTTGTGGTCGTGATTGTGGTTTAGCGCACGTGTGCGAGTAGGAACAAGCGCTAGCGATCGACCGCAGTCTGCCGGCTCGATCGCCTAATTTCAGTTCTCCTCTCGCCCCTTCGCCTCCCAGTGCTCTGGTCATGTCGTCGACTGGGGCTGCTGATTTCGCCGCTGCCACCGCCGCCTCCGCCTCTCGGGCGGACTCCACTCGACTGGGTGCCTCCCTCGGCCACGGCAGCATCGGCAGTGGGAGCTGGGGCGCCCGACCCCTGGTCGGGCGATGAGGAAGAAGAGATCGTCGCCGGCTTTGCATCGCCCACGCCGGGCATTCACGCCGCCACTGGCGGCACACATGTGGCTACGCAGACCGAGGCCCATGTGTTCATCGCCAACTTCGTGTCTGGGGCGGTGGACGCCGAGCTCACCGCGGCGGTTGGCGCCTTGTCTGAGGGCGATCTGGCCCGTCTGGTTGCGGCCTGTACGGCTGCCCTGCCCGCCGCTGGGCCTGCGACTCCGCCTATTTCGTCGCCGCCGTCTTCGTCCGGGACTACGCCACCGACGGGCACGGCATTGTCGGTTACGCCATCGCCCCCGCAGGTCCCTTCGGCATCCTCGACTGGTCCA